AGTTGTTACCACACAACAGGATTAGTTTTAATCCAGGCTGTGTAACGTACCGAGCTGTCAGCATGGCCCACGTGTTCCTGGCAGACAGCTTTATTTACGGTCTTCTGGGGACTGTGTGGGCAGCGAGCAGGTAGGGGGAAAAAAAAAAAGCTAAACCACAGCCAAAGCGGACTGTTCAGGGAGGTTAAGGAAAAGCAAACATTTGAAAGCACTGAAAGTTGTACTGGGTGACATGGAGAGGATAGAAAAAGTCCCTGAAAACCTCTTAAGAGATACCCAAATGGTACCTCCAAAACCAAGGGATCTAACTATCATTGACAAGTACAGAGGAGGATAAGAAATAGCAATAAATCACCTGAATTGCTCAAAAATGCTCTCTTTGAGGGCAAGAACAGGTTTTCAGAGACTGGAACCTGACCCATTGGGGCAACCATATGTGTCCAGTGGACATCCCAGACCCTCTCTGGCATGTTCTGCATCTGAACTACAAGGGAACGTACAGCTGGAATCAGTCCCCAGCCTGCAGTGTCACACCACTGCTCTGGGTCTTCCATCCCTGGAGATGCTGCTTGTCTCCGTGGGGTAAACACCAAATCCAGGAGGTTCAAAGCTTTGCACCCCTGCTCAGAACAAACACTACACCACTGGAGGATGATCCTGAGTCCTCTCCATACTTTTTCCCTGCCCTGGTCCTAGGGGTGGAAAGGCCAAGCTTGCTGAGGACAGGACAACCCCTCAGGTTAGAGCTATATTCAGCTGTATTTCCTCAAGTGTTAGCAGCCAGCTCCCTTGGCTGCTTCAGGACGTGGGAATATTTGTTATGGAAATTTTGTACAGCATCACAACAGGGCCAAAAGCAGCCTACACAGGTCCTCAGTTAAACTCAGCAGCTGGCACAGAGCAGATTCTCCTATAACTAAATTTGACCAGCAGAGTTCAACAGGCCACCAAACAGACTTTGAAGCCCTCCAAGCAACATGCCTTTCCATTTCCAGACACTGAATGCACACAAAGTGTCAAGCTTAGACAAGTCAGTGACTGTAACCACAGTCATACATAAATCAGCATCCAAATGAGCCTCCAGAGAGGCATTTTCAAGCAAGAACACCCTCTTTTTCTCCCCACAACTTCTTAGTAATCCTCTTCAGCATTTTACTTGCATGTTGCAGAAATCATCTCTTAACACAAATGCATAGCATTTGCTTACCTAAAAGAAATATTCCAGTTTCTAAAGTAATACTTTAAAGTTATTAGACACATTGAATGGCTTAGGTCGGAAAGAACCTTAAAATCATCTAGTTCCAACCCCCCTGCTAGACACATGGAACGGCTTAGGTTGGAAAGAACCTTAAAATCATCCAGTTCCAACCCCCCTGCCCTGGGCAGGGACACCTCCCACCAGACCAGGTTGCTCAAAGCCCCATCCAACCTGGCCTTGAACCCTTCCAGGGATGGGGCACCCACAGCTTCTCTGGGCAACCTGGACCAGTGTCTCACCACCCTCACTGTAAAGAATTTCTTTCTAATAGCTAATCCAAGTTTCCCCTCTTTAAGTTTACAACCATCACCTCTCATCCTATCACCATAGCTAATCCAAGTTTCCCCTCTTTCAGTTTACAACCATCACCTCTCATCCTATCACTCCACTCCCTGATCAAGGGTTCCTCTTCATCTCTCCTGTCACCCCTTCAGGTACTAGAAGGGGCTAAAAGGTCTCTCCAAAGGCCTCTTTTTGCCTGGCTGAACAACCCCAACCCTCTCAGTCTGTCCTCAAGGGAGAGGTGCCCCAGCCCCCAATCATTTTCATGGCTCTCCACTGGACCAGCATCTACAATGCCAGCACATTATCCTGTTGCCCCTTCAGGTACTGGAAGGGGCTAAAAGGTCTCTCCAAAGCCCTCTTTTCACCAGGCTGAACAACTCCAACCCTCTCAGCCTGTCCTCAGGGGAGAGGTGCCCCAGCCCCCTGATCATTTTCGTGGCCCTCCTCTGGACCAGCATCTACAATGCCAGCACATTATGGCTATACAAACCCTCCCTCTTGGGAGCTGCTTATTGCCATAGGAATGAGTGAGGGAGAAGATGGCTGGAGAGTTTGGCGATGGGGCACAAAGCTGAACCAGGCTTCATCTGCATGCTCTGACTCCAGCCAACATCTCCCCTGCTCAGTCTGTAGAGACCCAGCAGTACCTCCAAGACCATAGGTATCCACCTCCCAAGTCCTCTGCAGCTTAAGCTCTGGGCTCCATCCTTCACAAGTCCCCTACAGGGACAACCTGTAGACATGGTCTGCTGCCACCCTGCTAGAGGAATGGTGCACAGAGCATTCGTGGAGTTTGTTAGCTCTGAGCACACGTAAGGCAGCCATCATTCTCTAAAGTCTGCTTGAACCAAGATGAAAAATAAACCTCTCCAATCTTTGATCTTAGGAACCAAGCATCTGCAGAAGATTTTAAAATTCAGTTTCCTGTGCTTAGATGCAGTCCAAAGAGTAATGGAGAGCTGTTGGGCAAAGAGAGAAGAACATAAGCATATAGGAGAATGGCTCTCCACTAGCTAAAAACCCTAAAATCCAGGTCATTCCCTGCTGCAGCTGCCATTGGCTTGGGCACAAGAGATTCTGATCTCAGCACAGGAGTCTCCTCTCTTTGGGATGCAACAAGAGCTGGAGGGTCAGAAAGGAAGCAGGTGCAACAGATTTGGTTTTTCCTTGAAGGCCATGCAAATATGTGGGTACTGGCTGTAGTTCAAGACCAGGCTGGATGGGGCTTTGAGAAACCTGGTCTAGCAGGAGGTGTCCCTGCCCATGGCAGGGAGGTTGGAACTAGATGATCTTCAAAGTCCCTTCCAATCCAAACCGTTCTATGATTCTGTACTGGACCAAAAAACAGAATTAGTTCCTTCCCAATGGCTGGAGCAATGGCATTCACCACTCTCTGCAACATGGGGATTTGCTGCTTTCCTGCCCTTCCTCCTCTGCAGGACCTCAAGAAACAGTTTTGCTCCTCAGGAACATTGAGGAAAGCAACAAAGTCTGGTACAGCAATTAAACCAGATGTCAATCGTGTTTCTGGAGCTTGTATCAAACTGTACAAAGTTTACTAGCATCTTCCAAACTGCTTTGGAAGTTACTTCACAGTCAAGATGAGGATAGCAGTGTTTTCCTTCCCTACAGCAGGATTGCTCTGGACGTGCCACTTGACTCCTACCTAACTTTTCCATCGTGGTCACTCTGGCAAGAGACCTATAGCAACAGCAGTGCTCTGTGGACAAGACATTTAATCCTCAATTCAAGAGCTAAATTCAAGTAACAGCAGGAACTTATTTTCTTTTATTAATGAAAGCAAGATTTCCTTGGAGGAGCAAGCTGTTTCTGTAGTCTAAGCCAGCCTTCACGATGGGCCAACTACAGCTCAACAGAAGTTCATTACTGCTCTGCAAGGTTAAAACAAGCTGTCACTAACATTTCCTTGCTTCTGCTCAACTGCAGACGTGGCACAAGAAGCTGAAGCCATGCCCTGGGATGGCTGCAGTTGGGCTTTGAATCCTGGTTGCTGGAAAGAGGAAAAACGTCAGTCCCTGAACCAAGAACATCTGGACGACTATCACCTCATCTGAATGACTTCAGTGCTCTGTGCTTGGCTCCCCAGCTTTATGAGGAAGAGCCATTAGGAAAGAAGAGAGTTCCCACCAAACGCATACCATCATGATGCTGAACCTGCTCTGGAGACCACTGCAGCCTTTAAAGTCAATCTCAGGCTTGATGAGAGCTGGCCCTGTCACATCCCATCATTTCAACCCATCTGTTGTCTCATTGCCATTCTGTAGCTGCTTCTTCTGTCTCACAAACACAACCACCCCCTTCATACTGTGCCATCACCCATTGACACACACTGAACGTGAGCCTGAGTAAGCGCTCACAAGTCAGTGGGGTCTCCACACCAGTCCTAGTTTAGTCCAAGTTCCACCAGCTCAGTTATTACACCAGCTACTAAGAACACAAGAAGAACAAGATTACCTTCAAAACAGACTGAAAGATTAAGGTCTTAAAGGTGAGAATGTGATCAGTATGAATAGGATGTATTGCCTCAATTAAGACTGAATTCATCTTTGTATTAGATACACTGTAAAATAGGCAAAGGGTTAATTTTCTCCTTCTTTGCAGCCACAGAGAAGCAGTGCTCTCCTGGAAGCTGGCTCTGCTCTTTCTGAAGAGAAGTGCTACCCTCTAGTGGGGCTGGCTAAGAAAGGCTTCTCTGAAACTGTTCCTCCTCTCAAGAAAGAAATTGAAGCAGAGAGGTTGCCAGACCAGGAGATCCTTAGAATTGCTTCTTTAACATCAACTGGTAAAAAACCCCCAACCAAACCAACCTAGAAGTAACCTGTGAAATCAGTTTTGGGGACGGGCTATGTCCTGCTGATGCCTAAAGCTCAAGGCAAGTGCAAGAACAACCCCAAGTTCTGAATTGAGAGGCTTAAAAAAAAAAAAGGAAAAATAAATAAATACAAAGGGACCTTAAAGATTATCTAGTTCCAAACCCCCTTCTATGGGCAGGGACACCTCCCACTAGGTTACTCAAAGCCCCATCCAACCAGGCCTTGAACACCTCCAAGGATGGGGCAGCCACAGCTTCTCTGGGCAACCCAGCTCACCAAAGAATGCCACGGAAGTCACCACCACCTCACCCAAACACTTGAATTTATCATATGTATGTTCTGGGCTACATTGTGCACCCAAGGAAATGTTCAACCTTCCCTCACCAACCTGCTATGCCCAAGGAGCTTTGGCAAGACAGCAGGCAGAGTCATCTGCAACCTCCTAACCTCCCAGCACTTAACACACTGATCACTACCACAATCTACAAGCTCCTTGGAGAAGGAATAATAGAAGCAGGCTGCTTGCGTGTTTTCTCCCCAAACCACAGTTTCTGCCATTTTTTTCTCCCCTTTCATAGCTGGGAGCGAACCAACCACCTTTGTGCAGAGCAGTTGACACCTACCGTATTCCCCAAAGACCAGGTATTTGCACTTCTTGTGATGCACGATCCAGGAGACAACCTTCACGCCAAGCCAGATCAGCAGCATCCCCAGCGTGGCATCAAGGAGGAAATTAATAAGGTAGCTAAAAGCAGAGGAAAATTCAAGTTTCAGTCATGTTTTTAGGTCTAATTCAAAATATATTTCAATATGAGAATCCATAAACCCCCCTAAGATTTAGGAAAATCCCCACTTCATTGTCCAAGGTCACTTTCTCCCTTTCTCTTTTATTGGATTTCCCTATATCCTGAGTTTCAGGAAAACAGAACCAAACATTTTTGGAATTTCATACAAAGAAATGGAAGCTTGTTGGACACCACAGCTGCTGGGCAAACTGCACAGCCAAAGAGGCAAAAAGTCCATTTTTCTGAGCAGCTGCAAGAGGCTCCTATGAGCAGACCATCTTGGGAGAGGCAACAAACCCTGCCTCAACAGCAGGCATCCCGGGGTCCCCAGAACTCTCTGGTTTAGGGTTCCCACTGCAGATCCAGAAGCTGAACCTATCCCTATCAGGAGATTTTTTTCCCCTGAGGGATTTGCTTGGGAGCTTTGGATGTTTAATCCTCCTTGGACAGAGCGCCAGAAGCAGGAGACCTGCAGGGACCTTCTGGGGATTGCAGGGTCCAAGCTCTAATCCAGGGCTTGGTATTTTAATGAGCTCCAGAGGAACACCCTGAGGGATTTGCTTGGGAGCTTTGGATGTTTAAGCCTCCTTGGACAGAGCGCCAGAAGCAGGAGACCTGCAGGGACCTTCTGGGGATTGCAGGGTCCAAGCTCTAATCCAGGGCTTGGTATTTTAATGAGCTCCAGAGGAACAAAAAAAAAGAAATCTTCTCTCAGACTAATGTTTTCTGGCCAGTTTTCCATTATTGGAATATTTTGTGCTAAACCAGGCCAGATTTCTAGAGGGTGAAGAAAATACGAAGCACAGAGCTACAGGAACGAACATTTCTTTTTTCAGAACTTGATACTGCCCCTGAATAAAAGGCACTGAAAATAGCGACCTGCTTCCGACATCCGTTTGGAAAACACGACATTAACTTTTTCTACATTCAAATGCACAGACTTAAGCTGATCTCAGTTTCCAGTTGCTGAAACCAGAGTACTCCAATACAAACGAGAGGCTCTGGTGGTTTATACTGGGCAGCACACGTAGCGTATAAGCCTCAAAGGCCAAGGACAGGGCTGTAAGAGTTTTAAGCTGCCTGGTTCAGGATTAAAAGTCAGGCAGCCCCAGGGAAACATAAAATGCACATTTAAAAAAATAAAATAATACCTGAAGGGCACAGCACAGACACTGTTTTAAATTAAACCCTTTTGTGCTTATTTAAAAAAGAACCCAAATGCACAGACTTAAATGACCACAGTTTCCAGTTGCTGAAACCAGAGTACTCCTCAAATGCACAGACTTAAGCTGATCTCAGTTTCCAGTTGCTGAAACCAGAGTACTCCAATACAAATGTGAGGCTCTGCTGGTTTATACTGGGCAGTGCATGTAGTGTGTAAGCCTCAAAGGCCAGGGACAGGGCTGTAAGAGTTTTAAGCTGCCTGGTTCGGGATTAAAAGTCAGGCAGCCCCAGGGAAACATAAAATGCACATTTAAAAAAATAAAATAATACCTGAAGGGCACAGCACAGACACTGTTTTAAATTAAACCCTTTTGTGCTTATTTAAAAAAGAACAATGACAAATCGTTTCAGAGGTTATATTTAGCCCCAGCCAAGGCTGTGTCTTTTTAAAGAAACATATCAAGGTGCAGCACTTTAATATATGAAAAGGAGACGGGCCAGAAGGTTTTCAGCAATATTTTGCTGCCTAGAGGAGTTTCTCAAAACAGGAAAAAGTTAATTCTGAAAATAAATTTGTAGCTGCAAAGTGGCTGGTCTGAAGTAAAGGTGGCACTTCAGGCAGAAATCCAAAGTCTGGTTTAGAAAGGCCAGATTATACATCTGGTAGTGCAACTAGTTCTAAAAAAAAAAAACCACAAACACCAAACCAACACCAAAAAACATCCTTACATCAGACACACAGTTCAGAAAGCATCCTCAGCGCTGCTCTGAAACCAGCCAGATTGCAAAGTCTGGTGTGCAGACAAATGGCACATTTAACAGTGTCCCAATTCCACAGAGACCACTGCAGCTTTTTGCAACATCAAGGTGCTTTTAATAACCAGACCCCACCACAGTGGAGCTGCCTCATCTTCATCAGACTAGGAGACTGCAACAACCAGTGGACAACCCAGAGGCTGAAAATAAGCTCAAGCATGGTTTGTCCCCACCTAGGGCTTTAAATAGATCGGTTTCCACTCTATATGACATTTTTTCAGCAGGCTTGCTCCTTCCTTTTACAGATGTAGGACACGAATGCCAACACCTTGCGTACTTACAGAAAGCACGAGTCCTCTTCAGTGTAATGCGACAGAGCAAGATTGACAAAGTGGATTAACAGGGCACCTAGTCCTTGCTTGAAGGTATCAAAAAACCTGGAAAGCAAAAAAAAAAAAAAGGCATAAAGATCCATGCCCCAGAGCACCAGCAGCCCCCCTAAGCTAAGGCCCTGTGTGGTTCTGCATTTCAACCAAGATGCCCAATAAGCACATGGTGGAGGCGGCCAGTTTTGCCAACTCCACATACTTAAGAAAAATAATAACACAGCATTTCAGTTCAGCCTTGCAGATCTGCACCTGACACTTACTGCCAAGTTTTAGCCCACAGCAAAGGGCAGTCTGGCCTCCAGCGCCCAGCCCAGCCTCAGCTTCATCCCACCAGCAGTAGATGCAATGAATGTGTTCAGCAACTTAAAATTTTTGTACCCATCCATAGAATGGTTTGGGTTGGAAGGGACCTTCAAGATCATCCAGTTCCAACCCCGTGCCATGGGCAGGGACACCTCCCACTAGACCAGGTTGCTCAAAGCCCCATTCAGCCTGGCCTTGAACCCCTCCAGGGATGGGGCAGCCACAGCTTCTCTGGGCAACCTGGGCCAGTGTCTCATCACCCTCACAGTAGAGAATTTCTTCCTAGTATCTAATCTAAATCTCCCCTTTGGTTTAAAACTGTTTAAAACTGTTAAAACTAGTCCTACCCCTGCATTCCTTGATCAGGAGTCCCTCTCCAGCTCTCCTGTAGTCCCTTTAGGTACTGGAAGGCTATTATAATGTCTCCCCGGAGCCTTCTCTTCTCCAGGCTGAACAACCCCAGCTCTCTCAACCTGTCTTCATAGCAGGGGTGCTCCAGCCCTCTGGTCATCCACTGGGTATCAGGTTGAATTTCTGAATTATTTTAGAGGGAGAACTAAACTGAGGATGCTGACACATTGGCTGGTAGCTCTGTGCTGCCAAGCCAGCCTGACCGTACCCTGATCTCACCCATGCACCCACCTCTCAGTGGATGGTAAATCCTACAGTACAGAAATGCTTTGTAGCACTATCCCAAGCTGACAATAGTCATCAACTACCTTCCACCAACAGAGCCAAATGCATTGCCTGGTCTAGGCCTGAGCTGGGTCACGGGACACCAAAATGATTAATTGAATTTCAGAACATAACATGACCCTGTCTGGGAGACAGCCCATATCCATGTATGCCAGCAGATCAGAGAGGACCATATTCCCTCGTTCTGGAGGAGCTAGGCAAGGAATTTTACTTTTAAGGACCACCAGCTACTTTATGGAGGTTTCCTTGGGAAGTGGCATCACAGCACCTCCTTTAATGACTAAGTAACATGCAGGATATTCAAAGGGCCTAGAAAATTGTTAGTACAAAAGATGATAATATTGGACACATGGTCCTTTCAATCTCCAAATTAAAAGTCTCACCATATCTTCCAGGGACGTCTCTCTTCCTTCGGTTCACGATACCGTTTTACTGCAAAAAAAAAAAAAAAGAAAGGTTACATTAACCAGCAGAGCTGAACTAATACGTGTGTGCAATCTGTGTTGATCTTCAATGCAAGAGCAGGCAAAAAACCTGGAGGACCTGCAGCTTTTGCCAGTTTAAAGCTGAACAAAGTCAAATGACCCAGCTTGAAAACGACCAGAGGCAATGCATGCACCCACAGGTAAGAAGGATGAAGAGTAGAGGTGTTTGTGAGGTTGGTGGGTGCTTCTGGTGTCCTTCAGCAGCAGCATTTTCATGCTGCCGTGAGAAAAAGTGACCTGAGGGCAGCTATGGAGGGTTCATCACGACCTACCAGCCCTAATAATTCTTCCAGGTAAAAAGAAATTACAGTAATGACAATGAAACGATATGGACCAAGAGTCCATTAAGCTTTTGAGTCACAGCAGCACAATAAAGCATCTCCTCCTTGCAGCTAATGGGACCAGGGGACCTTCCGCACACCTCCAGCATAAAGGTACCAGTGCCAAGACCCAAAGCCCTGCAAGCCAACACGGCAAGCTTGTAAAACCAGTATTAAAACATTTTTTCATCACATGCCCACTGGCTACACTGTGGAGCAGGAGTCTGAGACACATGGCTTCAGTAACTCCAACCTGAAAAAAAATATAACTATTTGAAGCAACTCTTCTTTCCTTGAAAACGCTCAAGGTCAGGTTGGACAGGGCTCTGAGCAACCTGATCTAGTTGAAGATGCCCCTGCTCCTTGCAGGAAGTGGGTCTAGATGGCTTTTAAAGGACCCTTCTAACCCAAATGATCCCATGATTCTTTAAATGAAGTCCCTGTGACCATGAGTTTGCTCCTTGCAGCCCCTCAGGTCTGTCCTTCTCAAAGGAGCCCTCCAGTGGTGTCTATGGCAGTTGCTTCTCTGAGCTCTCTCCTGATACTCTCTGAAGACAACCTCAAGTTGGATTTTCACCCAGCTTTGTTCAGAGTAGGGTCTGAGCATTGTGAAGCATCTCAAAGGGCCCCAGTTAGTTTGTCAGAGATTCGATGCTCTGTGGGTTCCACCAGCTTTTCCATGCCCAAACAGGAGCTGCTGATGGAAAAGTACTAAGTACCACAGCCCGTGCAGAATTAATTTCTTGACTGTTTTGCTGTCAATTCAACTAGGACCCCATTTTAGAAAGTACCAGCTACCAGGCCAACTCTTCTCCCTTCAAAATTACAGCTATCAATGTTCTGGAACAAGATTTTCCACCACATTTGCCTAATTAGAAGAAAAAAGAGAAAATGGAAAAAAATTAGTAAATCAGTGCATCCTGTCTAACTCCTGACAGTCCAGCCAGGGATGCAAGCCCAGCAGCTGCTTGGTGGTGCCATCTAGTGAAACCAGGAGCCTGAAAGCAGCAGGACACGTGTACAATGCACAACCCTTTCAGAGAAACCACCCCAGGAAAATATTCTTCTATACATCCCGGCTGTGCCCGATACCAACAGATCACTGCCATTAGCCCTGAAGAGAACGCCAGCTGCAGGAGTCCAAACAGACTATCATTTAATGTATTTTATCATCACTAATTCTTCACCCTTGGGAGGTCGGTAGCCCACTTCACTCCTTTAAAAAGCAACCAAAAAGGCTGAGCAGACACACACCATCCCGCTTCTCATGGCTATTATTTCTTCATCCTCCTCCAGCAACACGTAATCAACTGCTGCCTTCAAATTTACAACCAGCAAGGGGGCTTTTCTCACTGCTGATAGTTCTCAGCACATGGGGACACTTCCCAGGACAACCTGGGGATATGAAGGTGGGGACCAAGAGCACCATGGATGAAAGCAGGGGCATCAGAGCCACGTGCTTCTGCCTGCTCTCCAGGGGGAAAAGGAGCTGCGTTTTTATAGACGTGAGTTTCCTCACTGCCCATGGGAGGAACAAGGCACAAGCAACATCTCTGGTCTATTTTAAATCACCACCACTGCTGATAAGGCCAGCACAATTCTAGACATAACTTGGTATCCAGCTCTCTTCCAAGATTTACATTCCACCCACTGGTTAGTCTTTCAGCTAATGAAACCGCGGAGAAGCTAACAGCTTCCTTCCAATTAAAAACTACCATTTTAAAGCCAGGAACTGATCTAATCCAGGGACATCACAGTAGCCAGTCCCATGGGCATCCCATAAAACACCCAGAGGGAATCTGAATTACTCGGGTTATAACCTGAAACAAGGGGTTTGCCCTCCCCTGCCCCATAGGGAAATAAACAGCTTTGACAGCACAACTCATGTAGGCTCCGCATACCAAACCCATCTCCAAAGCGGAGTCAGCAGCAACCTCTGGAAAGGCTGGGAATTAAAAAAATATAGGGTAGGTTTAGACTGAACATTAGGAAAGAATTTTTCACAGGAAGAGTGGTATTGGAATAGGCTGCCCAGGGAGGTGGTTCAGTCACCATCCCTGGATGTGTTTAAGAGCCATTTAGATGTGGTGTTGGGGGATATGGTGTAGGGGAGAACTTTGTAGAGTAGGGTAGATGGTTGGACTCGATCCCAAGGGTTTCTTCCAATCTGAATGATTCTATGATTCTGTGATTCTAAAAACATTGGCTGGATACAGCTGATTTCCAAATGAAGGTCTCTCTGCTGTTCTGCATCCAAACAGTAATTAATTGATCTGTTCAGTCCGGCTGCACTTGAGCAGTCAGCCTGCCAACTGGAGTTCCCCCCCACCCCCTCCAAGGGACAGCCTGGGCTCCTTCCCCTGGGAAATGCCTGCCTGGTCCAGCCTGGAATGGTGCAGGAACTGCCCTACCAGGGGCCTTGATATCTTAGGAGTGTGTTACAGTTTAAGAAACCCACAACTATTTATTGTCATTTAGATAATTATTCTTCCACCTGATGACCCCTCCCCACCTGAGAAGGAAAATAGAGGGAAAACAAGGAAACACAAGGGTTGAAATACAGATTTAAGAGGATAAGACTAAATAATTAACATTATTAATACTAAAGAATCAGTTCAGAATCATTCCAATACCAATACAAAATACACACGGATTATAACCAGCCCATACTATCACAGGAAGCTGTGCACTCCCAGCATGGACAGCAGATGTGGGACACTGCTTCAGGAGGATGTAGCTTCAGGAGGAAGGGAAGGGCTCGGGGGTCCAGGACTGAGGCGAGAAGTTCTCTGGACCACCACCCTCACAGGAGACAGAGAACACTTCACAGCAAACTTTCTAGTTTATATTGAAAGTGATGTTCATGGTATGAAATAACCCTGTTGGCAAGTTGGGTCAAGTGCCCAGGTCCTGCTATTCCTCATCCCTGCACCTGGCAAGCTAGGATTCAAGGTCTCAGTGTCTTCCATTTAGCACAGCTGGCTGTAAAGTAAGTATTTTCATTAATTCAGACACTAGTGTGTTCTGAAAGTGCCGTTTTCCCAGGCATTAGAAGAAAAAAATAGTCCTGTGCTGCTCAAACCAGGACAAAGTACAACTTCGTGCTTCTCTTACTGGCAAAGTGACAGACTGATAGAGGAAAAGACAACCCCAGGACTTCAGTCAGACACGTGCAGGGTTTATGGTGCCACCCTCAAGGCCACAGAAAACCAGCACTCCCATGACCTGATCTGCTATTTCCATTAATGGATAACAAAGCAGCTGTCAAGCCAGGTTGTACCAAGCATCTCCATAACAGTTTGTGGCCTATCCCTGTCTAGAAACACCACCTGGTTTCCCTTATCCACCTGAATCTCCTCATGAGATCACAGAATCTTCATGGTTGGAAGAGACCTTTGAGATCGAGTCCAACCACAAAAAACCAACCATATCACAACCAAAAAAAACTAAACACAAAAAACCACCCCACAGACACAAACAAACAAATCTCAGGCACTAGAGCATGCCCTGAAGTGCCATGTCTATGTGTTTCTTAAATACCTCCAGGGATGGTGACTCCACCACCTCCCTGGGCAGGCTGTTCCAGTGCCTGACCACCTTCTCACTAAAGTAATTCTTCCTAGTATCTAACCTAAACCTCCCCTGCCACAACTTCAGACCATTTCCTCTGGTCCTGTCATTATTCCCTTGGGAGAAAAGGCCAACACTCACCCACAACACCCACCAGATATCCCCATAGCAGTGATTTCCACCAGCCCAAACGAGGTACACTGTCACCGATGCTTTTCAAAGGGCCAGTTGCACTTCACCCACCCACAACCAAGAGCCCCATGGACCAACCAAGCCATGTGAGTGGCCAGAAGTATTTAAACCAACCCTAACAAGCTTGCTCAGCTCACAGGGCAAAGAGCACGACGCCGCAGAGAAGATGTTGAAGGGGTCTGGAGGCCACCAAGCCAGTCAGCTCACCACTAGCCCAACTGCCAGAGCACCAGGGATGACTTTCATTACTGCCTTAATGAGAAGAGACACGTTATGTATCCACAGCCATTCAGGCTAGAAATACAGTAATTCAGTGTGATAAGATGACAAGTGAGAGGTAAGAAGTTAATGGTGTGGTGCCTTGTTGAACACAGCTTGTCATGCCTCATTAGATTTAAGAGAGTTATCCGAGGCTGTGTAATTATCAGAGACAGTAAAACTGTTGTATTAAAGATAAAAGCTAGTATTATAGAGAAATAATTAACTGCTTAATAGGGCATTTAGTGTGCGAAGCTGCAGCAGGCTGTCTCCAAATTAAACCAGAAATCCAGCCAAGATTACCAGAGCTTAAACAGGCAGCAGAGTTGTTTGGTCGCTGTGACCCAGAGGTTAGAGGTGATGCTAAATCCACATAAAAGTGGTGCCAGGTCTTTGAAAACTCAAGGAGCTGATGAAGTCCTCTCCAGAACAGCACTGCTGCTTTTGTGCTTTGGAAATCACAGTAGGGCTCTGGAGCAACAGGCTGAGCAGCAACTGCAAAGTGTCCCTCTCCTCTTCCAAGCCTTGCAGAAAGCAAAACCATGGCATGTTTAGCCACAGGCTTAGCTGGCCAGGGCTGAAGAAAGGCTGAAGACTACTTTGCTCTTCTCAAAATGTCTCCACTCACTGGGGTCAACTCAGTTTTCAACTAGCTGTAGCCATGGGTTTGTTACCACAGCTCAGGCAGATCAGTCAACCCTTCAGATTTAAGAAAAGTTGTGCATGTTTATGGACGCCTCAATCAAATATGAAATGTGACACTTAAATTCTAGCACTAAAAATCAATTAAAAAATAATAAGTGAGTTTAGTGCACATGGAGCTGCACAAGATGCGAGAGAGCGCACATCCAACCAGATTAAAGTGAGACTGATCTACACCAGAAGATATCAGAATTTGTCTTACCAACAAGCACTGATTACTTTAACTGCTTCCCTTCGCAGCTTTGTCCATTCATAAAGCAAGCTGAGTTCCATGAGGAAGCAATCTTACTGCACATCTCTACAGCTAAGCAATCCTCCCAAACTGCCAGATACCTCCAAGCCTGATCAGGACAACAGTCTGGACCACGCCACAGCCCAGGAAAGCACAGGTCCCCCAGCCTTCAGGCATGCATTTGCTTCTCACAGACCCATGCAGCAGTTACTGTTTTTCAAGTCTTTGCAAGTACACACACAGTAAGGATTCCCGATCTCATTTCATGCCTCTTCACATCATCACTAAATGGGAAACCAGTCCTAGTAACACATGAAGCAAGTAAAATTCATGTGCACCTCTAGGTTGTCTCCCCACATCTTTCCAAGGGGAAAAAAACCCACCAGTGGAAGTACAGGCAAGATTTTAGAAAGATCTTTGAAAAGAAGCAATGAACCCCAAAGGTGAACGCAGGCTGGGAACAATTGCTCCAGGGTTGACTTCAAGCAGGGAAGCTTGAGAAATCGGCCTCATCTCACATTTCCACTGCTGGTATAAAGTCTGGATGTTTACAGCATGTTTAAGGAGAGTCCTAGGTAGCGTCGATGGCCCACTGAGTTGCCCCTTTTATTGCAGAGCAGAGCTACTTGTGTTCTGAAGAGCAGAAAATCTGGGACCTGTGTCAAGTCAACCACCTCTTTGATGGCACAAAACCACCCAGCAATGCTTCCTGCTGCTGCTGCCGAGACACCACAGGTTGATAGGAGATACTGGGTGAAATAAAGCTCTTCATGGCTGAGGGTCCTTGTAACAGACCTGGATGCTACAGCAAGGACTATAAAACAACAAAACAAAAAACAAACCCAAAGTTGCTAAAAAACCAAGCTGTTGAACAGAGAAAAATTGAAACTGCTTGCCCAGGCTCTTCCAATCTGATCCTGACTTATTCCATTTAAATTCCAATGAAATCCCAAGTGGGTGGATGTCAACAGAAAAATAGTCCACACAGTAGAAATGAAGCCTTTCTGAAGGAAATGCAAAGATAGTCCTCAAGAACAACAAAAGGAAGCATCATGAACTCCCAACCAGAAGCACACAGGCTGCTCCAAGCATGAAGGTGAAGTGCTGTGTGATCATTTAGGCTTGCCACATGGTCCAAAGCATCCCAGGAAAAGGCTGGGCAGATGGGAAGACGCTCCTAGAAGAGTCAGGAGAAGGGGACCCAAGTCCATCCCATCCAAGAGGGGCAAAGCACCACTGAGATGACAGCCTGGTGGTTGGTGTCCTCGTCAGTTACTACTCTCCCCCTACTTGGCTCCAGTTACTGCAGATAAAAAGAGATGAAGTTAAACAAAAGGGAAGGAAGACAAGTGACAATTTGAGAGACATACCCTGCCCATGGCTGAGAAAGGGCAGGGCAGGAAACAAAATACTCCCAGGCCCTTTCCTCTTCAGTCCAGGACAATAAAGATCATATATTCCCTGAGGGAACCAGGCTGGGTGGAAGTTGGACATTTGAATGAGAACCTGTGAAATGTGAAAAAAAAAGTTTGGGAGGAGAGTCTTTCATTAGACAGATTCATAGATTGTAAGTAATAAGAAAACTGAAAGATAAAAGCTCAATTACAGTTGTTTTTTTTTTCCCCAGAGTAATAAGAAGTAGATATTTATTATAGCGTTCTCTTGCAGCAGAAAGGGGAGAGCTTTGCCTGCCCTAGACACATATAGTTCCCCAAGCCTGTAGCAATGCCGTCCCACAGTTTACTCTTGTTTTCAAACAATTTCCCTGGTTATTATAATCAATTAAGACAAGTACAGCACTGACCACTCATGCTGTTCCTCACCCCATTTATGGTGGAGTGTTCCCACATGCCACATCCTCCCCTCGATTCCACTGACCCTGTTGCATTCAGGCAGCTCTGCTGCAGATGGATGTATTGGCAAAGGTGCCTTTTACCTCTTTTGGACATAGAAACCTAAATCCAGGCAGAATTAGCTGCAATAAAACAGACTACTAATAAGGTTTCTACAAAATTAAAGGGGAAAACTCACTTCCCTAGGAGATGCTTGGGTGTGCTTGGCTGAGTCAGATCATCTCCTTGGCAAGTCCTACTGCAATCAACCGAAGGGTCCACAAGTTGATGTTTGGAAGGGAGATGTTGACTCAACTGACAAAGCTTTTAGGACTTGACTTACAGGAAACACAAGCCCAACCCCACCAAGCTCAGAGGACAAATATTGAAAATAAATCTGATACTAGAAGTATTCAGAGAAAGTGCTGCAGCTTTAACACACTTTAATTGTGAGCAGCCCACCAAAAATAAAGGCTGCATTGCCCAGAACTGGTTACTCTGTCACGTGCTTTTAACAGAAGGACCCATCTTTGAGACAACATCGCACTGGCAAGAGGGTCAGGACTTTTTTTCTGGCTTTTGCAGAAGAGGACTCGGGGCTGGGAGGAAACAGCAGCTCTCCCCCTGCCCAATCTCCATGCTATTTATAGGCAGCACAGTCTCCAATAACACATTTCAACCTATTTTGCACAACACACCCTTTTCCAGGCTTTTTCCAAGCCCCAGGCAGGAAAGAAGCCAACATGCAGGATACAGAGGCCAAAACCCTGGGGTCTGCACTATTCTTAGCCCGAGTGTGGAGCTCCTCAGACAGCTCTGACCTGAGACACAATGGGAGGAAGCAGCAGCCACCATTTGCAGAGAGCAGGCAAGCAGCAAGAATTGTATCAGTGGTTTAAGGAGACAGATTGCTGCTGACTTACATCCCCTAGTCTGCAGCAGATGTATTTAGTCCTTCCCTCCCAAATAACCCTGTACCAACACTTCAAGGATGTAACCACCTGTAGCAAAGCCAGCAGAGGAGATACTTTAAGGAAGGAATAGGAATGGAAGACATGTTCTAAGTTATCATAGAACGGTTTGGGTTGGAAGGGACCTTCAAGATCATCCAGTTCCAACCCCCTGCCATGGGCAGGGACACCTCCCACCAGACCAGGTTGCTCAAAGCCCCATCCAGCCTGGCCTTGAACACCTCCAGCGATGAGGCATCTACAACTTCTCTGGGCAACCTGTTCCAGTGTCTCACCAGCCTCACACTAAAGAATTTCTTCCCAATATCTAATCTAAGTCTACTCTGTCTTCCAGTTAGAAGCCATTACCCCTTGTCCTATTGCTCCCCTCCCTGATCAAGAGCCCTCCCCGCCAAGCTTTCCTGGAGCCCCTTTAGGTACTGGAAGGGGCTATAAGGTCTCCTGAAGCCTTCTGTACTCCAGGTCGAACAACCTCAACTCCATCAACCTGTTGTCTCTGGGTCTACAAGAGATGAGGCAGTGGGGAAGCACATAGATTGAACTAGATCCTGCTGAAGATATCCAACAATTGCTGGGCTACTCTACAGCATCTTTCAGATAAGAAGTGTTTGTTCTGGGTAGGAGTGCTCCGATGTGCAGGAGGATCATGCATGGATAGCAGGCACTTGGGAAGCTGCTGCTGGAACTCCCAAGCTGATGCAGGTGGACCACAAGAAATAGTTCTGCTTTTTCCTAGCAAAAAAAAGTCACAACAAAAAACAACCAAAAACCCCAAACAGACATGTTTCCTCCCTGAGATCTCACCTAAAAGCTGCTCTTCTCCCCTTTTTTGTGTAGTTCCTGATGTCATTTAGCCCATCTATTTGTATTCCCCACACAAATCCAGAGTCATCTGCAGGTCCAGTGCAGGGGAACCTCTGGAACCCACAGAGCAGCACCATCTCCTCATCATCCACCCTGCATAGACATATCAAGGGCCTCAGCTGGAACATTCATCCATCTGGGGACCCTAACCACCCAAATAAAGGCCACATCATACTTTACCATGGTTCTCAGCTGTAAGCTCTACCTTCTATGTCTTGTTTCTATATGGATTTTTCACAGCTGTCATTACAGCCAAGTGCCAGGTTGTCACAAACCATAGCTTTGAGACTGCAAGTATCAGTCATGCCCTGCATATTGAGGACAGGGCACATTATTTGATGACACAGTAGGGCCTATAGGAGACCTGGAGTGAGGCTGGGCTCTAGCCCAACCGCAGAGTGTTTTATTTAACTCTGCCCTGGGGGAGGCAGTAGTGACTCTCTATACAAAACATCACTACATTTCAAGTCAGTCCCTTGAAAAAAAAAAATGGGGTTTGGACCAGGAACATTTTATCTTAAGACTGTAAGATCCGAGATCATTGAGAGAACACCACCTGAAGAATGAAGGGATGCAACTGGATGAGTAATTATCACTAAAGTCTATCTGCCACAATGTTTTCTCACAAATGCTGTTTAAGAAACAGCTGGAATTTTAACAGACTCCTCCTTAAAGCTTTACTTGCTCCACCCCTGAATTACAGAAGACTAGGTTCCCTGTGAAGTTTCTTGTATGGAGTTAAAAGACACCTATCATATCAACTGTTCTTCACCTGTTGCAGAATAATCCAGCAAGGTGCAAGCTGTTTCGCAGCTCTTGGGTTACAGATAACTTTTCATTCTAATTTGCCAGCTCATTTCATTCCTCTGCTCACCCAACCCATTTGATCCTTAACCAGGAACCACCCAGCTGTCGCTTCACAGGCAGCTTTCACCACCGGGTTTAGCTGTTCAAAAGGTGACTTCCAAGAAGAGGTCGCCGTCATCGACAGCTGAAATTCAAAAGCTTTGTAGAAAGCAGCGTTCAGCTTAATGAAGCACGTCAAGCGCCGCGCAGACCTTCCAGCTTACAAAGCACAACGTGCATTTTCAAGCTCAGCCAGTTTTCAGATGTACTGGAGCGGAAGGAAAAAAACATCTTGAGAGTCCTGCCATATGTAGCTTTTCGCTTAACTCACAATCCTACATGTAAATGGACTATTAAGCCCCGTGCCTGGCACCTCCGGAGACACAGTTAACCTTTGTGGTTTTGTTTTCCCCCTAGAGGGAAGAGCATCTGCAGTGGTGAAGTTCCCATTTAAATATACAAGTGTGTGAATAATCAAACACAGTGACACATTTGTGTTAGGGGAAGCAAAGTCAGTGGAGCCTGTCGTGGGCATGGTAAACCTCCAGTTTATTTCAAAACAGAATCAAAGTGTGGACAGATCAAGGGCTTTACCATTTATTTCTTCTCTTTCCTGACATGGGCTCATGCTGGAAACAATGCAGCAGCTCCAACTATGTGTAGCAACAAGCCTGAACTTAGCACTGGGGCAGGATCATACTATA